TATGTATGTATGTACGTGTGTGTGTGCGCAAATTATTAACAACTGAGCGCTATCTATTTACACAGACACACTCACACAGATATGCCTTAATGTGTGTGTGTGTGCGCACGCACAATCATGTAATTCGGGCTGGCGTAAGGTCGGGCACTCCACCACATGTAGGAATATACATGTAGAAGTGCCTGAACACCTGTAGCATACTACAGCAACATGCCAAACCAAGGAAGGCCTGGCAGAACGCTGTGCAACGTACCACAATACATCATGACTTAATACACCGGCAAGTACAGAAAAAAAATATATATCACAACAAACAACAATAGTAGAACAAGAACAGAACAGAGTGTCCTGGAACATGTCCTTCTGTGTGCATATACACTGCCCACTTCACATGCGAATAAACCAGTAAGTCACACGTGGACATGAGTATTTTCAAGTGAGCCAATACTCATACATACTTTGACGTTCACATGCACACACACACACAAGTGGACTTTGCCGCAGCCATGCATGCAAGCTACAGGAACTCGCACACGCACACACGCACAAAACACACACAAGGCTGCATTCTCGCTTAGGCTGTCCATCTCTGTCTACAGCATGCGTATACATGCAGTATGTAGGTATACGTGCGTACGTGTATACATGCATTTATATGTACATATGTACGGCGCAAATATGGCGCCCGTAACGTGTTCTTTGCTATGTGTGTGTATATATATATACACACATACTCATGTAAGTACAGGTCCTAAAAACATACACGTACATATGTACGTACGTACGTACCCCTTGTCAGCAGGAGAGCTTGTGATCCCCAAGACTTGCAACGTCATGGCCTCCTCCGTATGCACCAGCGATGACGGTGAAGCCAATGGCCAAGCCATAATACTGACCCTTCTCCTGGCCATCAGGTTCGCAGGGTTGTTCCTCAGAAATTAGGGAATCTTCTTCCGGTCTATCGTTGCTGTACTTCCTTTGAGACCTGTAGGTCTGCGTCGGCATGGAAGCGAACGTTGGCTTTTGGTGGCGGTGATGACGTTGCGGTGCTGCTCGAGGGTGGTGGTGCTGGCCGTGATGCAAACAAACGCAACAGCACGAGCAACACCTCATCAGCATCGTCGCAGGCGGCATTAATTAAACCCACTTGCATGTCTGCAGCGTCTTCGGCCAGGAACGAATCATGAACGGCAAGACAGATAGCAATAAGGACAGCAGTGAGAAACAACGACCCAACACCACTCTGATGTTTTTTTTCGATCCTTCTCGTGGACCTGATGTGCTAAACTCATGATCTTCTGCTTCAGCGCTATTCAAGCATCTGCTGTGACATTCATGGTGCTCGCTTGGAGCTTGGTGCAGCTGCGGGCTTCTGATGGAAAGAAACAACAACATCAATCAGGACTATATACATCCGCACAGATCTACAATGATAGTGCTGCGGGGCTGCTGTTTTTCTCATGATGCTCGCACCTGCGGCTGGAGGAACAAGCTCTGCCTATGCCCATGAGTTTTGTGGACTGAGCAACCTTGCTTGGCCGTCGTGACTGAAATTTGTCCACATGCCATGCTGATGGTAGAAGAGGGCCGACATTCTGGACTACTCGGGCAGGTTTCGTGAGATGCTCGGTGGTCACACATGTGTGTCAGAGCAGGAAGGACATTGTCAGTTATTGCTCATGATGGTCTCTAATTACCCAGGCTCGAATGCAAAACATGCCAACACGCCGTTCCGGGGGGATGGAGAGGTGAAGGGGAAAAAGACACAAACCAAACCAAGTACAATACAAACTAGTGATTTCACGCATGCCTTGTTTAATACTGTAAAGCGCGCTTCATTGTCTCCGTTCATGCATTGTCTTTGTATTGCTAGTTACAACCAGCACTTACTTCACGTAAACCCGGATGTCCTTTGTTGATGAAGTTAACACGATGAATCGAAGGAAACGTTGTGTACGACTGGTTCCAACTCAAAGACAGCACAGATAGAAGAATGAGTTAGTTTAACCATGTCTCATTCACTCTGTTCCTTGCGCTGCATTCAAGTAGTCAAAACGGTCTCTTTTCGATGAAGATCGTTCTGTACTGCGAATGCCATGCTACTGACGCGTATGATTTGTCCGGCTCCTGCATGGCCTAGAAGAGCTGTTGGACATGCTTGCAGCAAGGGCGTGCTTTGCTATTTTTCGGGTCGGTGGCTAGGCTATGCCCAGACAGGCCAGCATGTACAGGTCAGCTACTTCACACCACAAAGAACCATGCAACCTAGAAGCCCTTCGACAACTGTGCTCATGACCTGAACACTACTGCTCGAAATCTATCTTCCATCTCTTCAGCATCGTCTCACCCGGGTCGGAAGTCCTCGACGTTTTTCTTGGCAGCAGCGACATTCAGCACCACGAAAGTGAGCATGAATGTGTAGAAATACTCGCAGACACCTCGGCCGGGAATGATGATAGGCCTGCCACAGCTCTTCACGACAGCGACCTGGCAATAAATCTGTGTTCTGGCTTTGCGTCACTGTTGGTGACCCAGAGGCGCTTTGCACGTTTCACGGTTGCGGGGGCTGGGATGGGGGTTTGGGGCGGCTTTTCCATGTAAGCCGAAGCTGGAGCGAATTTGTCGGGCCTACCGAGAGTGCCAACGTATCCAACACCCGAGTCCCGCGCACTCCAAAGTCCCGTATTCCTCCAAAAAGGAAAGGAAAAAGCATATGCATGTCCTTTTCAACCCACAAGAATCCTGAAGCGCAAACCCCTTCGGGGTCACTTACCGTGTCTATCAGATCAAGCGCTGGAGGCCTCAAGTCAAAGATCCCCATCCACGCATCCTTCAACTCAACAGTCGCGAGACCAGAAACTCCGTAGCCTTGAACCAGCTAAATAGGGTTTAGGGGTTTAGGGTTTAGGGGCTGCTTGTATCAAATAGCTCAATCTTAGTTCACTGAGCTCAGCTGGCTGGCTTTTAGGCCGTTATGACATTGTATGGCGCTTTTGGGGCTTCACAGGGCCGCATCGGCGGACCTTAGTACATCTTCCTAGGGACCTGAACCAACACCCTGAATCCTGATTCCTAAATTACGGCGAAGACGGTGTAGGGAGACAGGTACAGATTCATGTGCTCAGAAAAAAGCGACCCCCTACACATCGCGAGTTTGGCGAATCTTGAACCCTGTGACATTATGCCAGCTCCCGAAGGCTAATAGCACAAAAGAAGTTGGCAGATCTTTTCCAGCAGTCCAGCCCTCAAGGGCCCTAAGCTACCTTGCCGCACTGAGCTCGAAGCCCGAAACGCGAGGCCGCCGAGGCCCCAACCGGCTGACAATGTCGAGTACCCGGGAGTGGCGGCCACTGGGAAAGACTTGCCACACCTAAGCGGCTTGAATGGCACCCAGACTTTCTCTGACTCTGATTGCGCCATTCTGGTCCGAAGCACTGTAGGGCTTGGGACCTGCACCGGCATTTGGTCTCATTTGCGGTGCAACGAACACCCGGGTGTCATGCAGGCAAAGGTCTCTGAATCTCAAGGCCCTGAGCTTAAACCCTGAAGCGAGAAACAGGATGGTGGAAGCAAGCGCCGCAGCGATGCCAGCCACTATCTGAACGAGACAGTAGATCATCACCTCCGGAGCTCAAGGGCCAGTGGTTACGGTTTCGGAGGTCCTGCCCGGGATTGCAGCTAGATACAACTACCCTAAAGGAAATGCTTTCTCTCATCTGGAACGTGCTATGTTAGATGAGCAGCCTCAAACTTGAGCTTGAGCGTTCGTCGAGAGGTCATTGGCTTTCGGGTCTGGATCTGGGGGTTCAAACATGCAGACTCTGGGTTTGGTGTTTGGGGTGGCCTTGGGGCCTTGGGTTTCTTCGTCTTCTGGGGCCTAGGGGCTAGGTTGTGGGGCTTCGGAGCCAGGGCTGGTTGCTAATTGACTGCACACTTCCCGCAATTGCAGTGATGCCAACTTCGCTTGAATCAATGTGGCGAAACGCAGGGTAGCAAGGTAGAGTTCTGCTCTATATGCTAACATTCTCATTATACTGATGACAAGCACACGCGCACGACATCTGAAGCTTCCCAGCAGCTGATCGGAATGGGTCGGAATGGAACCCTAAGCTGTTCAAACAAAAAATGCACGAGAAGTCCTTCATGAACATGAAAACAGCCGTCGTGCACCTGCACCTGTTAACACTGTTCGAAGAACAACGTGTAGTCACCGTGAACCGTCCAGCCTCACTGTACCTCGATGGTAGATGTGAAAGATGAAAGGAGTAGCGAACCCTGCAACTAAACCGGTGCATCACAATTCCAGCAAGCTCCGAGGATGCCACTGGGAGTGACAGTTAGCCTGCACACGTGTGACGTCGGAAACCGGAAACGGGCCTGTCCCCACTCCATTCCAGGTCCACCCAGTGTTTTGGTGCAGCCCAGAGCCACCGAAACCGCCTTGGGCCAGCTTTAACTTCCGTGCTCAGGGCTGACAGGCTGCACCTGACGACCATGCTGCCGTTGTTTTGACACGCTTTTTCCATGACTGCATGCGACAGACAGCATCTTGAGTCTTGATGCTGCGTCACGCCATCGAAATGACCGCTAACACTGACCATGATGAGGCTGCTGATGGTGATGGTGTTGCTGGTGATGATGATGACGATGATGACGATGATGATGAGGATGATGACCATAATGACAACGTCATTATCAAGTTGACGATGAGGACGATGAAGCTTGAGGGGCATCTCGATGAATGGATACGTGCTGATCGGGCGAGGAAGAAGAAATTGACGAGGAGTGGGGAGGAGCGGCAGCCGGACATGGTGGATAGCGAGACACCAACTCGGCAACATCTCGCACGAAGCAACTACAAAGCGAGAGCCACCACTTCCGCTGGCACCGTCACCGCCACTGCCGCTGCCACCCCTACCGCCACCGTCACAACCACCACTAGCAAAGCGCCCCCGGCCATGACGACCACAGCAATCACAGTACTACAGGCAGCAAGACCACAAGCTGCCAAACCAGCAGCAGCAAGCCCAGGCCCAGCAGCACTACTAACACTATCAAGTCCAAGGTCCGAAAGCAAATGCCTTGGGCAATGTCATTAATGAAACACTCAACTCCAAACCGAATCACCAAAATCCAATATCTTGAACCCGAAAATAACATTAAGCTGGAAATCTTAAACCGAATATCCACTGACCCTGACCAACGGTTGCAAGACCGGCCACCGGGTTAAAGTTTCCGCCGGAGACTTTTCCGAAAGACCTCAAGTTATCGTGTCAAGACTTGGGGTTGCGGGTTCAGCTAGGTCTTTGTGGCGGAGCGTATCAGTTAAACGCAAGGCTGAGGCTTGGGTTAGTGACTTAGTGTTTACATCCAAGTTCAGTTATCGGCTATCTGAACTGAACTTTAGGGTTCATTCATGGTCATGCGAGGCATAAACCCCCTGCCTAGGCAGCTTTGGTCCCCCGCAAATACCCACCCTCGACTGCTTCTTTCTACCTGCATTGTCGAATCACGGCTCTTTCTGTTATTCGCCCCTTTCCCCCTGCATTAGAGTCAGGGCTCTAGGCCTCAGAGCTCTTCTAATTCTATTGGCAAGACCAGGTTACAATGAAGTTGGACAATTGCGGCCTCGTGCGATTGAGCCCTCCCTGCGGGACCACACAAGGCAAACGGCCATGCACCCAGAAAGCCTTGGACAAAGACCTCTGCCCTGAATCATTAGAAGTCTCTTTCGAACCCCAGGTGTGCGTCTGTGTGCTGCTCGACTGCTTCATGTTCGACGGTATGCATATGACTTGTGTCCCGAAGACCCGACTCAGATTTAAAGTCGCAGCCCGAACACCAAACTCGCGAGTCACGAAAGCACTGCCGGGTGTGCTGCTGGATCATGACGAACAGGACGGTGCCGATGGAGAAGCCACCAAACAGCGGAGATCCAGTTGCTAAATTGCATACTACCTGCAGTCTCAGGCTGAACGTTCTCAGCTTGGCGGTTTCTTCAATGTGGCCAAAGAGGGAGCTACAATCAAAGCAAGAAGCTGTCCTATGTTGCAAGGTCTGATCCACCACTAAAACGCCCCTGTGCGTAGGGTCGGACCAAGTCATCGTGGTATGGGCAAGGCTGAGGGCTCATGGTGATCGATGTACTGCATCGGACATGTGAGTCGACTCAGTACATGCAGAAGTAACTAGGTGACCGATCACAACCGGAAGACAATGTGAAAGCAGAGACCCCCATCGGTCCCGCAAGAAGCGGACAACAGGGGTAGAGTCTGTAAAATCAAAGACCACAAATCAATGAACCGGAGAAAACCAGAACGTATTGGTGACAAGTGTAGGGGGGACCCAGGCCCAATCCAAGCCGCAAATCCTGGCGCTTGAAGAGACAAGTTGGCCACTCGTGCTTCTTGTGCTATAATCTTTGGTGCCAGAGCTCTTTGATCGTCTATTTACGACACAGATCTAGCGCAAAAATAAGATGGTATCTCCATGTTTAGAGATCAGCACATCTGACCGAAGCAATTGACACAAACCTGTACCCTTGCCATTCACATGTTCGGCTGCTAGGCCCCCGGGCTGTGAAGATGAGCATGAAGGTGCCTCAACTGCTTCATTTCTACTATGGGGCAGACATCGAAACCTGATTAGCTCTTGCGGATGGGCCCAGCCCCCATCCAACAGCTTCCGGGCTGTATTTCCATCTGCAGGCACAAACACAAAATTCAAATCTTCATTGCAGCCATGAAACGTTAGAATCATTTTCCCTAAACCCTGCACACCAGATGCACAAAATCAAACCCTGACCTTGAGTTCTGAACTTCCGGATACGCGCCCCGAGATCCCAAAACTTAACCGGAGATCGCAAACCCGACTAAATCTTTAAGTCAACCCCAAACCCGTTGCCAAGCATGCACCACCTGAAATCCTGCAAGCATCAGCCTGAAACGAAGACATTTATGAACAACAGCTGCAAAATACAAGCCTACGTAGAATTCGGCTTTGTGCACAGAGGAATCTTTGACGAGCCAGGCTGCCATACTGGTAGGAGCATCTAAACAACTGAAATGTGCGTCCTAGATCAGAACCTCTGCAAGCCAAAGATTTAGGCCCAGCCTCGAATCACCTTGAACCCGTCCAAAAGATCGCCATGCATAAACTTCGCGGGAGATCTTACAGAATCCTGAACCAGCATAGTTCACTATGCAATCCGTACTGTTGAGCCCGCTGCCGACAAACTCAGCGACGCATTTGGCACGCAAGCTCGGCTCGGCCGCCATGGTGTTCGCTATCTGATGTGGCATTCGGGCTCTTGAGCTTCCGGGGCTAGGCTTTACAGGAGATCCTTGCTGTGCAGGCTCTTGGGGTTCAGGCCTTAGGGGTTGAGACCTAAGGCAGTTTTGAACGTTTTTGGCCGGCTCTTCGCTTGCTTTGTGCTTCAAGGCCTACAAGGTTTTAGAGATTTGGATGAAGGGTTTGAGTTCTGGGTCAAAACTGTGTGACAGTCTTGACTGCCAGGGGCTCTGCCCCTAGGTTTTGGGCAAGAGCACGCCTCCCGACCAGGGGCATGTGATAAGATACGGCACTCTGCAAAACCTGCACCGGTCTAAGCTGCTGCAAACTCCAGCTCTGCTGCATCTCACCAGACATTCGTTGAACGATGATGAGTATATACTTCTACACTCAAGGGTATACGCTCCAACCCCCGAAACCTCGAATGTAAAGCCAGGAAAGCCAAGCGGTGAAGATTCGAACTGAAACTGTGCGAGCCTGAATACATGCTGAACTCAACCACCGAAAATTTCGTAACTTAAACCAAAACGCTCAAGGCCAAAGCTCCACCACTGAGGCCACGACCGCAAAAGCCGCGTGATGCGTGCAAGATGTAGGGTTCGGAGATCGTGTGCTTAGGAGCTTGGACCGAAGAAGCAGCGGACAGCATACAATGCTGTCTACAGAGTCTACATACGTCTAGGATTGCATGTGCCGATGTACTCAGACAAGCATAGTTCAATACATAGCATCATGCCCTGCTTCCATAAACCGCACCTACATGTTCAACTCAGAACCCCATTATCGGAAATCATAGGCTTTTTGTTGTTCAGTCGGTGTAGGTTCCGACGGATGAACCGCGTGTCGGGCTCAGTGTTTCCCCTCTTCACTCGCATTTAGCACTGAGGCTTCGAGGACAAGAGACCTTAGACCCCGAGCCCAAAGGCCTGTTATGGTAGCTTCGAAGACGGAAGTCATTAAGTTATCCAGCTTGCATGCTCGAGCCTGGAAGGGCCATGGAGACTCGGATTTCAGGGCATGTGAGCGCAAATCCCAAAATCGCAGCTTGCAAACTCCTAAACATGTACAGGGCTTGATGTGCCTGAGCCCAGACTGGGTCATACCAGTACCAAACAGAACTGGGAAGACCTTTACGTCCTGGGCAGAACCCTGACACCACGACAGCTTTGTTGAGCTGATCCAATCATAGGAAAGTCCTCCAAGCCTTGAGCCTTAACACTGTTGAAAGGAATGCTCGGACAGCCATTTCAAACCCCCCAATCCAAGACCCACAGCGCTTCGCTAACAAAACCCCGGTATCCGCGCCTGCTCCTTCCTCTGCCATGCGGCCGCCGGCCAGGGTGCAGATTTCTAGGGTTGTTCTTCTTGAGTGGGTCTACCGGCAAGGTTGCCTTGAGTGCGCATTTTGTGCGTGCAATCATCACAGAGGACGATGCACACCCGACTTGATGCCACATTCTCTCTCATTCGCAGGTTGGGAACCATCCCAATCAAACGAAACTGGCCCAAATTAACAGGCATGCACATGCTGAACACCTTGCCAAACATACTCTCGGCTTTACATCCCGGAGCTCCTACTCTTGAGTCAGTCGTTTCAGGTTTGCACCGTGAGAAAGCCTTCAGTTTTGTGCACCATCCCCCTTTTGCCAATCCCCAAAGCGATTCCACAGGCAATACCTGGACCCCAAGAGTATGTAGAATAATAGCCCTTTGTAGGTTTTGGGCCATTATTTTACCTACTTTTGGGGGTTAAGGTAGCCACTGTATCCGAGGATGAGAGAGTCTGCAACTAGGCTGTAACTCAGACCCACACTCGCAATGAATTCATTGTCAACTTTGCGCTTTCGGGGCTCAGGGGAGCAAGGGCTGATTTCTGTCTGCAGCTCTCCATGGCCCTGCCTCGCCGATGCATAGCCTGATCAGAGACTGTCCCTATAATAAGGATCCTACTATTTAGGGTACTATATTAGGGTACTATATTAGGGTACCTTATTTTGGGGTCCTTTATACTGCTTGTGTTTTGCAGAGGACGTCATCTGACGTCCGACTCTATTGCCATAGAAAGGAAACCTGAACCGTGACACTCGAACCCACAGACACACGAGCTGTGCACGGAGCAAGCGAAGGTAAGCCCGAGTTGGATTCAGATTGACCTGGATTCAAGGTATAGTGTTTGTACTTCAGATGCAGGGCGAAGAGCGAAGGCTTGACAAGCCAAGGGCTTCGGTTGCTTCAGGTTGTCGCATTTTGTGTATGCGATACTGAGGGAAGGATCTGTTAAGTGCTTTTTGCTGATGTTGTACTCTTGTTACTTTTCGGCTTGATGGATCTCTTTGTCGTCAGGCACTCTCGTTGTGGCAGGGCGAGACAAGTCAACTAACAACTGCAACAGTCGGAACGATGATAGTCATCCCAGCACTCCCACTGTCGCATACTACATCACTGTGCGTAGTCGCAACAGTCACGGCGACGCCCCTCCTTCCAGCGACCTGTGCATGCCCTGCAGTGTCATGCTGAAGACTCTTCCATTCAACGAGACAACACTTTCAGGATGGGTCAAGCTTCGAGCTTCAGAGCACAAATTTCTGGAGCCAGGATCCAGAAGCTTTACTTTAGCCATGCACCCCGCCCCCTCAGGGCCCAGAGGTCTAGAGCGAACAATCAAGTTCATGGATCGTAGCCTATAACCTCCCTAAACCTGGAGGGCCACACAGTCACACAGTTATTAACATTTTCTTTTATGAACCTGAAAGCCTTGCCTTGGAATGGTGGTGCGACCGTCGCTTCCTGTGCTTCTGCCTTCTCAGCTCGGGGCGGGCACAATGGAAGCCACAAAGTTTCTCGAGGTAGCGTTGTAGCTAGCACTGTAACTTTAGGAGTGTGGGTTGGAGGATAGAACGCTTCGGGTGGGGGGCCGTCGTGGCTGCGTGCCTTATCTACCGGGAAAGCCATGAGGGCATTCATGCAGCTTAGTGTTGCTTGCTCAAAGGATCAAAGAAACCTGTCTTGAAGACCCCCCCAGATCTATCAAACAGCAGGGCTAAGACCTGAAGAAGCCTTTTTGGGCTCTTACTGCAGCTGTGTGTGAGGACATCCGATTCCCTGTTGGGGCCATAATAAAAATGGTCATTGTTAATCCTCATTACTTTTTGCGTTTCAGGGTCTATTATGACAGAAATGTAGTGAAATTGTATCCAACAAGGACCCAGACTGTAGGATCTCGGCACACCCTAAGCTGCAAAGGGGCCGTCTGCCTAAACTCTCAACCCTCAGTCTGAAGAGGCTAGAATCGGCTACGGAGAAAAGGGCGGCTTTATGCAAAAAGCAAGGTCTCCACTTCGCATCCTGACAGTACAATCCTGGCTCCTTCAATGTCATTTTCCGTCCTGACCCCAAACCTACACACAACCAACCCTGTACCCGAAACTAAACCCTCATGTCTGAGACTGTAAGTTGGAATCCCTGAAACAATCAAACAGGATTCGGTGCGGTGAGTGAAGGCCTTTGGCGGCCGCTGGATCACTCCATCCACGATGCGGACGCCTTTCAGAAGGGTCCCATGGATTCTGGTCGCAAGGCTTCAGGATAAGGAAGGTTGTGTATACGGTATTCATGCGACAGTTGATGAGCTGGAGAAGGTATCGTACTTCTGGGCTTCAAAACTGCCGGTTTGCGCCCGAAGGCTGCGATGTCCAAAACCATCTTAAACCTCTCTGCAGATCTAAACAGCTCTGCGCATGATGGCGAAAAACTGCAAGTATCGAAACAACAGCCTGAAATCCTAAACTCACTCAGTGGGTTAGCAACGAATCTTGAATTCCGAGGTTTTGGCCTGAGGCCGGCGGAGGAGATGCCTGCTCAAAGCGGCCAAAGGCACAGCGTCTGCAGCTCGGGTCTTGGCGCCATTTTTTATGCCAGCGTAGATCCCCAAAACGTGACAGAGCATGTCGACGACAGCGACGTTCACAGCAACGACCAGAAAGGCGATAACCCGACGACCGCCCGGAGATCCGTGTCCACCATGATCCTCTGTAAATTAATGTGCACCGCAACGCAGGGGGAGCCGCACTGACCAGAACGACAATGACGATAACGATTGACGATGACGATGACGACGATGATGCTGATGGTGACGATGACGATGATAACGATAAAGGCAGTTTTCGTAACGCACATGACGGCTGCAGTCATGTCTCGACCCACATGACTGCGGCTCAGCATATCATGATTCGCATCCTTGTTGGAGTTGTGAGGTATCGTAGCAATTACCAGGTGGTGATGGCACATGTCCATGATCTTTTGTTGTACTGCGGTCGGGGAGCCCCCACATCTCAGGTTTATGTGTCCGGATACATGAAGACAAAGCTTAAGCATCCATTTGAGCCTTGAGCTGCGCGCAGACACGCCGCATGGTGGACAGGTCCTCAGTGCCCAGTTGAAATGAGTGGCTGATTTCATGACTGTTCCCAGGATTTCTAATGGGATACTTGTGCTAACTACCCTGACGAGGGTTGAAAACTGAAATCCTTCAGGGCCAGCCCCTGTTCCGACCGTCGCTTTAATGGGACAAATCTGACTCGATGCTTCATCAGAGCATCAGGAGATCTGCTCTCCGCTAGAAGTATACATGCAGACGCACTCGCGCACAAAAACACGAAGACACCATGCTAGCACACAAACTGATCCGGCATTTTCCATAATTACACTGTGACATACACCTGACTTGAATTCGTGCTGAGGCTGCAGCTGCTCCAGGTTCACAAACCTGTAGTCTGCAAAAACACGCAGGGCTCAGAATCTGTAATCGCTTTCTGCTTCCCTTCAATGCATCGGCAGGACTGCAAACAGACTCCGGCATTGCCTGCCCGTTTTGTCTCTAGAGCAACAGTTTCCAACTTACGCGTCCCGCATGAAAAAAAACACATTTCCAGGACTGGCGTAGTCTTCGCGTAGTAAGGCCCCTTTCACTTATCATGGGTGACCCGCGGCTCGCTTAGTCCCGAAGTACTCT